TTTGCACCACCATGCCCAGCAGACTGGTCACTTTGTGTGTGTGTGTGAGAGAGTGAGAGAGAGAGAGAGTGTGAGAGAGAGAGAGAGAGAGAGAGAGAGAGAGAGAGAGAGAGGGGATTAAATATAATTTCCTCTTAGAATTTTGATAAGAAACCAACGTGTCACCAACAAAACTGTTTCCTGTTTGTAAGAGAGAGAAAAATGCTTTAAAAATTATTCTATCCTTTCCTCCTCTTCCTCCTCCTCCAACTTCTGTTTTATTTTACACATGTTCTTTGTTCCTGGGTACCCTGTCTATGTAATAATAATAATAATAATAATAATAATAATAATAATAATACAAACCTATTTTACATTTTTTTTGGGAGAATGGGTAAGTGTTAGACTTTTTTCAAAGGTTACATTAAATGGTGTGCTCAAGAAAGAGAGGATTCTGTATAGGAGTGTGGTCAAGCTCAAAAAGATTAAAATTTCTAATATTTGGTTTGTTTTTGAGTAGGCCTTAAAAATAAATATAAGTGCCATCATTAGGAGTGCTTCTGCCATATTAAAGGTACTGTATATTTCAGTGTTAGGCACAGTGTGCCTCTCATCCATGGTGTCTGAAGAATCACTAGAAGCAGCAGAGTGGAAATATAGTTCAATCTGAATCAAAAAGTACAAGTTCTATTTGACTACCTGAATTTTAAAAAATTATTATTATTAGTTTTAGTTGCAGTTGGACCCAATACCTTTATTTATTTTTATTTTTATGTGGTGTTGAGGATCGAACCCAGTGCCTTGCATGTGCTAGGTGAGCACTCTGCTGCTGAGCCACACCCCCAGCCCCTGATTACCTGAATTTGTTTCTCATTTGACTATACATTAATAGCTTAGTGATAATACAAACTAAACTGTGTTATCATTTATCCCTATTTTATAGGCTGTCCCTGGATAAAATTGCATATATATAATAAAATATTGACCTTAATATGCTAGGTTCCTAGCACACAATTATCCAAGGACCTTCTTTTCTTCCCTGCTTGTCCCATCAAATGTGATTCCTAAGGATAGATTGTCTTTCACTCTGATTTTATTCAGCAAAACATGATACCTAAGGTCCCATTTCCAATGTGACTGCTGCTCTTTGTGTGATACCATGACTCCTCAGATGCTGTTAGTATTCCTCCTCTAGCAAACATGGAATGCCTAGTCAGGTTGAAATGATGAAAAGTTGAAGTTCTGAGGCAACTAGATTTAGAAAATATGTTTCCTCCACAGACTTCTGCCCTTAACTCAAAACACAGCAGATTATATCACTTCATACTTTGAGTACAGATAAATATTCCAGAAATATGGAATAGTGCAGCCAGGAGAGGTCTCATTTTATAAGAGCTCAACTGACTAAATTGGGATTTAATGTTGGAGTTCCTAGTCTCACTCTGTGGTTTTAGGGAGAAAGCTACTGTTTTTATCAGCTTTTCATCATGATTACAACCTTAATGACATAACTTAAAAGGGAGAAGACTTTATTTTGGTTGTTTCAGAGGTTTCAGTCCCTAGTAAGTTGGCTCCAAGGCAGAAACATGGCAGGAGGGCAAGACAGAGGAAAGCTGCTCAGCTTGTGATAGGAGGTAGAGAGGTGTGTGTGTATGTGTGTGTGTGTGTGTGTGTGTGTGTGTGTGTGTGTGTGTGTGTGTGTGTGTAGGAACCCAGGACAAGATATAGTCTCCAAAATAGTCCCCAAGGGCAAGCCCCCAAAGGCACACTCATTTCTATTAGATCCCACCCACTGTACTTTCCACTACCTCCCAATAGTCCATTTGAAGTATGCATTCCTTAATGGGTTAACCCATCAATGAGGTCAGAGGCTTCAAGATCCAATCACTTCCCAAAGACTCCACCTCTGAACACTGCTGCATTTGTGACTAAGCCTTCAACACATGAGCTTTTAGGGAATACTTCATATCCAGACTATAACACCTAGTTACCATTCAAGTTATAGAAAAAGTTTCTATTTATCATGGTTGATGGCTTTTTGATATTTCTGATACATACCAACTTTTATTAAAAAGGAGGAAGGTTGGCAAGCTCATTGGCAGAGTGGCTTGTGTGGTATGTGTGAAGCCCTTAATTGAATCTCCAGTACTATACAAACAAACAAGCAAACCAGGAAGGGTGAACTCACCATATTAAAGCAGCATCTGATTGGTTGATTAAGGCTGAAATTTCTGTGCACCACTTATAATCAATGCAGAGTTTCTGAGAAACTGGGGCTTAGATTCAAGGGATCAAACTTACTAATTGTAGAGATAATATTCTGGCAGTTTAAAATTTCTTTTCAGTTGTCCCAGCAATTTCCACCTAGGAAGCTATCTGGTGAACTATGAGTAAATGATTGCTGCTTATGATAATGATAATTCCTGTATCTCAAAGAAAAAATTCCCAGGAGTAGAGAAAAGCAATAATGAGATTATATACCCTCAGTTTGAAAACTGTCAGGTTTAGGTGACCTCATTTCATACTGACATAGCAAAATATGTGCAGTGAACAATGGAGAAAAAATTAGGGGCACTGTGGAGCCATCATAGAAGGAGAGATTCAAAAGACTAGACTAGTTAGGAAAAGTGAAAAATGGAAGAAGATTAGTTAGACAAAGAGAATAAAGAAAGCCATTCAGGATTCCTAATTATCCTTTCTTAGGAGGACAAAAGGGCACACCATGAATATAAGAACAACACATAGTAGAATACGTCAAAAAATAGATATTTTAGGACCTTATAAATAGCTCATGGAAAACTGAAGAACAGCAAGATGCACATAGGTTAGGACATTTCTCAAAAGTATTATGGTTGATAAAGCTTCTGGCACCACATTACAATATTAATGTTTTAAATATATAGTGGATTTTTCTATACAGTAGAAATTGACTTGAATTCAGTTACAATTGACATAAAAATTTTATAAGTTGGATCCTGTAAGGTTGTATAACATGATTTATGTAAAAACATGTACAATCTCTAAAGTCTGCAACTGAATGGAGGATAGAATTACAGTGACTATTTCAGCATACCTTACAAAGCCATTGGTCTTCATTTTTCATATAAACCATTTAACAAATTAACACCAAAGAGTTATAATGCAAAATATAGGACATTCTTTAATTTTCACAATTTCCTTGTAGCATTGACCTTCTCATAGATAGGGCAATTACCAGTCCTCCAAAGTCAGAGCATGTATTGATTTCTTTAAAAGCACAGGTTATGATGATGAATTTGCCAGATCTTCAACCTTGTTTAGATGGAGTATTATAGTGCAGCTGCTATTTTTATTCTTCTAGCATTGGAATTAATAGAATATTAACTCTGTTTTCTTATGCCTAAATGATCTTTGATTTGTAACAATAATTTTTATATTTTTATATATATCTAGAAGGTATTAATATTATGTTCTGTCTTTCTTTATACCTTTGTATTATTTTCTAACCCCTTTGAACTGTTCTCCATTTTGTATACAAACAAGTTTTTTTCCTTCTAATTTGGAAAGGTTTAATGAATTTTACTTTTTCTACCTTTGTCCTCTAAGGATTACAGAATCCTTAAAATTCCTAGGAATGACTGTGTAGGTCAGATAACTCAATGGGGAAATACTGAGATAAAAATGATTGTGTATTCTCATTGCTCAAGGACCTTATGCATAGAGTCAATCACTGTAAATTGTTTCTAAATAATAATGAACTATGAAAAATTGTGGAACTACTTTACAATGATATTCTCATTTCACTGATTCCACTGGGAGGTGTGGTTCTGTTCTACTAAAAATATTTTTATATTTCTACCCTGAAGCATTTCTCTTTCTTTCTTCTTAATTACAGATTTTTGTTCATTCTTCTGGGACCCCTGGGAAAGGGTCAACAGTACCATGAGATTGGCAGATCAATTGCAACACTCATGACAGATGAGGTATTTATTCAAATTTGTTTCACTAGCTCCTCTTTCCATGACAGTTTGCTACAATTCGGATTTCTTTGTACTGAATTTCATTCTATCATGTATCCATTATCAAATTTCCTTGAGAAAAAATTGTTCAAAAGAGATTATAGATTAACACCCAAGAATATAATATTTTAAAATACCATATTCTAAAGAGAGTTAGTTTAGTGACAATTATATTGGTTTATATTGCCTTTATAGTACATGTGCTGCCAACGTAAGCATCACTGTTCATCATTGCAGATTTTATTTTGGGAAAAAATAATTTTAAGGTCTAAATGAAAAGCAATGGTGTGTTATTTGAATAGTATACATAACACCAAAAAGCCCTGCAATATCTATAATTTTTCTGCAGTTACTTTACATATATGAAGATGTTTTAAGAGACTTTTTGGACTATTAGAGGCCCTATAGATAGATTTTCAAGGGGATTGTTATCCCTGTCATAGAGTGCTCAATTTTTTTCTGTCTGGAAAAAAAATTGTGTGTAAATTTCTTTTTTGGACTAGAAAAAGCTTTCATTAACTTCTCAAAGAGATGTATGTCTCAAAAAGTAAGATCTTAAAATAAGAACATAAAAAGTTGTATGATATAACTTTTCTTTGACTTATATTCCCCACACAGTATGGAAATTTGTTCTTATTGTTAAAGGAAAGAGCAGATGGGAAAGATCACAGAAGGGGCATTAATTCAGTACTAAATTAACAAATGGGATTATATATTATCTAAAATATCATCTAAATAATATAATAATGTGTTTATTGGAATACAGGGATGCAAATACTTGGAAATTCTATAAAAGGAGCCAATTAGTATTGTATATTACTTTTCCTAACTTTATGAAATTGGAAAAATTGAACTTATGTTTGGGGTTTGACATTATAAGCTTTTCTATCTGTTCAAATTAAGTTTTATGTGAATTAATGATGTATATTTATACATTGGCAACTAAAAGCTTGGAAAAACGTTTTAAAAATCAATTTTCTAAAAAAGCCAATTTAATGAATGTATTTGTTGCTTATGGCTCCTATAAAAAATTGCCATGAACTGGATGACTTAAAACAAGTAATTTGTTTTCTCCTGTTTTTTTTTTTTTTTTTTTTTTTTAGGCCATAAGTATGAAGTTCATATGTCAGCAGAGCCACACTCCCTTATAAGTCTCTAGGGGAGGGTCCTTCTTTATCTCTTCCATTTCTGGTGACTCCTGCTATTCCTTGGCTTATGGCATAACTTCCTTATCTGTCTCTACATTCATGAGCTTTCCCCCCATGTTTCTATGTCTTCCCATTTTCTGTTATCAATGACATCTGACATTGGATTTAGGGCCCACCTAGGTCTAGGATGACTTCATCTTGAGATCTTTACCTTTAAATTTAAATTTCATCTTGAGATTCTTACCTGTAAATTCTATCTTCAATAACCCTTATTTCTATTGGTAGAACTCTCTGAGAAAACTCATAGTATCTCAACTTTTAGTGTTTCCAAATTAATATTTTACAGTATTGTTAAATAAATTATACTGTGATTTGTGTTTTATAAGTTAAGTGTATTATCACTTTCATGAATATTTATTTCATGTTTTATTATGTTTTGGACAGTATTTCTCTCCATCTAAGACATTTAGGTCACTACATAAGAGAGTTGTGAGGTATGCCACATTTTATAATATGAGAGGAGTGTAGTATATGAAAGGCTCAGGTATAGTCTTTTTAGTTCTCATCTTCCTTTTCCCCAAGTGTGAATCAAAATTTTCTCAAGAGGAAAATGTTGGTTCTGAACAACAGGGAAACACTCATGCTTAATTTTAGATTTAGAATGAGATCAGAGAAGGGGCTTCCTCCAGTTTCCTTGATTGATGAGACTACCTAATTTGAGAACAAACATTAGCCATCTAATGAAGATTGAAAATGAATCCTTTAGACTTGAAAGTTTTGAATTTAGCTTTAGGAAAATTTGTAATTCTTTGTGTGTACTGGCATAAAGAAGCAGAAAGCCCAACAGAAAGTTACCCATAACAATAAGAATTATTAATTATACCAGGGCATGTAAATTGAATAGAATATTGATGGAATATGAAAAACCTGTTTGAATACATTTATTTATTCGTTTATTTTAGTGCTGGGAACCAAACCCCAGGTCTGACACATGTAAGGCTAGCATTTTACCACTGAGCAATATCCCCTGCTCTTAGTATGTTTAAAATACTTTTAAAAAGAAAAACAATGGGTTGTTGTTCAAAGTCCAGGTGCTTATTTAATTGCTTTGAAGTCTATAATAATTTAATCATTAAGAATGAAACTGAATATGTTGATTTATAGAGTTAACTTGCTAAGCAAATGATTAGTTGTATTATATTATAAAACTGTAAATTCTGTGAAAGCAATAACAGCTGATTTTGCCAGAGATCAAATAAAGACTTGTTGAAGTGAACTTCATCCTTTTCTTTTTTCTCCTTTGTCTGTATTGGGAGGTTCTGATAGGTAGAACATATCTTTTATATTTTCAAATCCTTTTGTATTTTAGATCCCTGTGTCAGGGATCAATATGGTTTTTTTTTTTTTTTTGGAAAAGGACTATTTTGTTTTGTATCTCTGTTATCATGTATATCTAAAAAGAATATTTTGATACTCTTTTCAACAAAACATTTATAAAAATTAAATTCCTAGTTATACGTTTGTTAAAAAATAAAAAGAACAAATAAAAAATTTAAAATGAATCAATATTGAATGTACAACTCATCCTTCCAATATCTTGAATTAATAATAATCACTTTCTTCATTGCTGTTGAGCTTTACTAGAGAATATCAAATGATTGTGCTTATCAGCATTGATGCCCATTTGTTCATCCCTTTACATTTGAAAATATTAAGAACCTGAAAAGCTATTATGTATATAGATATGTTATTATGTATCATCATAGAACTTAAAACTGAGAAATTTAAAAAAACATGCATTTTAAAATCTATTTTAAAATAATAGTAAAGCCATTATATATTAACATAACAGTTTTATGAAAACCACAGCAAACGGAAAACAAAAAGTATTTTCTACTAAAAATGGTACATTTTTTTCTTTTTTGTTCTGGATTTTCAAACTAACAGTTTTCTTTCTTTCTTAGATATCAAATCAACACTGGCTCTGTGCAGTCAGCAAACATGCCCAACACATGGTAGCTACTTAAAATATATGTATGAAATGAATATCCAGGTCTCTCCTTTCCTAAAAGTAAATGTCTTACTGCTTAATAGTTTCTAGCATTGAGGAAGTGTTGTCAAAATCTGACTCTTGAGAGTTTTGAAACAGCATTGTGTACTTGGTCATGAATATTTTAGCTTTATCTAACGTATTGCAGTCTGATATTTGCTACTAACACTCTACTGAAACTGCTCCCAGTCAAGTCACCATTTACAAATATACTATTGAATGTTCAGATTGATGTTGAATACCACTTTTTTCTTGTTTTATATTTCCCCAATGAAAAGGAGTTAAAATTTATTGTATGCTTTGTTTTGATACTAAATGTCTGAAATGTTACTGTTTACCCCAAGGTTATCAATTATCCTGCCACATTGTGTTTATTGAGCTTTCATATGTTTTTTTCAGCATGTCTGGGATTGCTTTATGTGTGATATGTGGATAGAAATATAGTTTCTTTTTTTAAGAATATTTTGTGTTCATATAACACTTTATTTATTTTTTAAATTTTTTTTAATATTTATTTTTTAATTTGTCGGCAGACACAACATCTTTGTTTGTATGTGGTGTTGAGGATCGAACCCGGGCCGCACGTATGCCAGGCAAGCGCGCTACCGCTTGGGCCACATCCCCAGCCCAGAAATATAGTTTCATTTTAGATAGATTAGCAATTGGCTCAGTACCATTAATTGACTAGTGTGTCATTTTATTTTTTGCAATCCCTGCCTTTCAAAAAAAATCTACTTTGATGCTAATGTCACACTGTTTTATATATAACAGCCTTATAAAGAGTTTTGAACTCTAGTAAAACCAGTCTCTGTGTTCCTCATTAATTCCTTTGATAAGTATGTATTGGATAAATATTTATCAGGCATTCTGACAGAGACGGTGGGTGAACTGAAAGATAGAAGTGAACAAAATGGATAGAAGTGAACAAAATGGATAAAAGCCTTTTCTTCTATTAAGCTAATGGTCTAGTGGAAAGACAGACCAACATAGAACTAAAACATATGGCATATGGAGGTAAACACTATGGAGGGAGGGACGGGAAATAGAATTGGGTGGAAAGTGGCACCAGTTTAAATGGTCAGAGAAGAACTTACTGAAGAGGCATTTCAACCAAGAACCTAAAGGAGGAAAGAGAGCAGCCTGTACAGACAGCTATGGGAAGAGTGTTTCAAGAAAAAAAATAAACAATGGCAAAGGCTTTGAGGAAAGAGTGTTTCTGAAATAACAAGTGAAAGCAAGGAGGACAAGATGGCTGGGAAGGAGTGAGGAAGGTAAAGAGCAGCAGGCGTGAAGTCAGGAGGGCAGCGGGGGCAGTCTGCATGGGCATTTGTGGGTCATACAAGGACATTGAGTTGGGAAGCTAATGGAGTGTTTTGAGTAGAGAATTGTATTTTGTAGTCATCCTTGACTCCTCTAGCTCTTTAACACCCTAAATACAATCTGTCAGTAAAGCTTCCTGGTTGTGCTTTCACAGTGTAAAAGCACAGAATCCCACTACTTCCCACTTTCTGCTCTATTATAGTCTAGTTTTCATCATCACTTGGTCCATGTCACTGTTATTATTCTTTTATTGAAAGAGCCTCCTTACTATTCTTTATGTACTTGTTTCACTTCATTTTCTTATCAATGAAAAAACTAGAGTAATCCCTCCTCTGTTAGAGACGCTTGAGTGAGTGGTTCCCTATGTCACTGAGTCAAAGTTCCTATGTTGATCTACAAAGTCCTGCAGGGCTTTTAAAAATATTTTTGTTATTATTATTATTAATTATTATTATTATTATTATTATTATTATTACTCTGGGGACTGAACCAGGGTCATTCTACCACTGAGCTACATCTCTAGTTCTTTTTATTTTATTTCATTATTTTGAGGATCTTGCCTTTGCCAGTTGAAACTGGCTTTGAACTTGTGATCTTCCTGCTTCAGCCTAGCTGGTATTAAGGCATGTGCCACCATGCCCCTGCTAATCCTGCAAGACTTTGCCTCTTCCACTTTATGTATCAGCCCCAAGAATTGGCCTCTTTGTTACTTCTTAAAAAAATGACATGAATAGTCTACACTTGCAGTTCCCTCTGCCAAGAAAGTCTTGTTCCCAATAGCTACACAGTCTGCACTCTTCAGGTCTTTGCTATAATAGCTATTGATTAAAACCTTCCTTAACACTCTTTTTAAAATTTCAGTATTGCCTAGTCATTTCCTTATTCCCCTTTGCTGTTTGTCCACAGCACTTGCCATTATCCATCAAAATTTGTTTATGTTATTTATTTTCCTTCTCCCCCTCACTAGAATTTAAACTCCATACAAGGATTTTTATTGGTTTATTCACCTAATACCTAAAGAGTTCGGATAAATCTTTATTGAATGAAATTTCAGAGTTTGTTTGAAAAGCTAAAACAGACATTAAATTACTAAATACACAGTTAACAATGAATTCTGCTAGATCATTATAATTACAGAGAAAGCTATCAAGAAGGAAGAAGTATTATGAGAGTATTTTAAAAATGTCTAATTTTGTCTGAGAAGGGATCAAGAAAGGCTTCTCTGAGAAGTCAGATGTGTGTGTGTGTGCCCTTAGATCTGTTAGACAAAAAGAAGGAAGATGAGCAATTCAAAGTAATTAAGTTACTTGGGAAATTGGCACATACTGTTTATAATTTAAAATCAAATAAAGAGTAGTGTCTATTTTTGAGGAGTTTTAAATAATAGGAAATCAGCTGCTTTGGACATTCATCTGTCTAAAGCAGGATATAGGAACATGTGACCTCTTGAAGCAATTTTTTAGTTGAGTGAGATCACATAAAGAAAGATCTCAAGAGAGCTGACAGTAGCAAGAAAAGAAAGAAGAGCAGACAAACTCTCATTAAAGATTATGAACATTTGCAATTTATAAGTGTTCAGATTGGATTTCAGGGCCAGGTAAAGATCTTTATGTGTGAGTATTTGTAACTTATACAAGCACTTTGAGTTGAGAAACAAAATGATAGTCTGAACCATAAAAACAGTGTCTTGGGGCAAGGAACTCTGTGTTTTTATATTTTAAAAATCTCTCAAAATATAGCTAAGCCCTTTATATAACTTGATGTTTTCATATTACACTAAGTGAAGACTATATATTTATCACACCAGTGATGTTTGTGAAGTATTATTAGATGAAAAGTCAAGAAATCACCTTTAAAACTGATCAGGATCATCCAGTCAGCAGTTTAGATTGAGTGTCCAACCAGAAATTGAAACAAATGGTCTGAAAGTGAAATAGAATATTTGAAGCAGAATTTTCTTTTCTTTTCTTTTTTATATAGTGTGTAGCTTTACAGATTGGATTTTTTCACTAAATAATATTCATTTAAATTTCTTACCTGTCTTTTGGGAACATGATATTTCTTTTGAGCACTGAATAATATTTTATTGTCTAAATGCATTACATTTTACCTATTCACCTACTTAAGGACATCTTGGTAGCTTCCAAGTTTTTGAAATTAGGAATAAAGTTGTTATAAACACCTTTGTGCTGTTTTGTGCAAATAAAAGTTTTGAATTTATTTAAGTCAATACAAAGAAGCGCAATTGCTGGGTCATGTGTAAAAGCATGATTAGTTTCTTAAGGAAGTGTGCCACATGGCTGCAAAGGTAGCTGGACCATTTTACATTTCAAACATTGATTGAAATTGCTTGTAGTTCCACATCCTTGCCAGTATTTAATGTTTTGGAGTTTAACCACTCTGGAGTATATATAGTGGTATATCATTGTTTAAGTTTGCAATTTTTTAATGTCAAACATTTTCTCATTTGCTCATCTGTCATCTGTATGTATCCGTATTAAGGCACTTGCTTAGATGTTTGCCCATTTTTAGGCTGTTTTCTTATTGTTGAGTTTTAAGAGTTCTTATATAGTTTACACAATAGTCCTTATTGAATTATGTTCTTTGCAAATGTTTTCTATCAGTCTGTGGTTTGTCTTCTCTGTTTTCTGATAGTATATTTAAAAAATACTGAATTCTTTTTTTAATATATGACAGCAGAATGCATTAAATTCTTATTACACATATAGAGCACAATTTTTCATATCTCTGGTTGTATACAAAGTATAGTCAAACCAATTCGTGTATTCATACATGTACTTTGGATAATAATGATGATCAGATTGCACCATCATTTCTAACCCCTCCTCCCTCCCTTCCCCTCCAATCCCTCTGCCCTATCTAGAGTTCATCTATTCCTCCTATGTTCCCTCTCCCTATCCCACTATGAATCAGCCTCCTTACATCAAAGAAAACATTTGCATTTGGCTTTTTTTTTTTTTTTGGATTGACTAACTTCAGGTCTTTGCTGTAATAGCTACTGACTGAAGCCTTCCTTAACACTCTTTTTAAAATTTCAGCATCCCCTAGTCATTTCCTTATTCCCCTTTGCTGTTTGTCCACAGCACTTGCCATTGAATAGCATTGAATATTTAGTCACTTTAATACATACCAGGAAAAAATAATATAGGAATCCCTAGCCTCAAATATTCTGTTTTTTTTCATGTGTAAAATACAAAAATTTATCAGAAGTGTTTATCTTATTTTTAGTGTAAATGAATTTGTCCAGTTTCTCCTTATTTTTTTCTTTTCTCACTTGTATTGAGTGTATTGTCCTGTATGTCAGTCAGGAGGAGCTTGGTTATGCTGAGGGAAAAGCCAACTAAAATCTTAGTGTCTTAAAACAGCAGACATTAAATGGTGCTGAATGGCCATTACAGGCTGGCAGGGGGGCTCTGCTGATTAGTTACTCGGGCACTCAGGCTCATAGAAACTCAACCTGGACCTGTGTTTTTCAGTTCCTAATCAGACAGAGGTAATGCAACATGTCACACACTGGTGCTCATAACTTCTAGTGAAAGGTGACATATGTGCACCTAAATTGACCACACCTAATCCAAATGACAAGAAGGCAAAAAAAGTCTAATCCTACCATGTGTCTCAAAGAGGGCTTGGAAGATCTGTGAACAGCCAAAATGACTGCACATGTATGGGCAGGCTGAAAATATAACTCATTCTTTGAATGGAAAATAGTTTCTGTATTTTTTAAGTATGTAGCCAGAAAGTACTAATTTATAACATTATTATTTTCAAAATTGAATAAAATTAACCTTTTAAATTAGTTTATGTATATTGGGATATAATTATAATATTTCTAATATAGTTTACACATTTTATTCTCTGTTTTTAAGCAAGGACTTTCTCCACCAAGTTTGACTTACCCACATATAAATAAACTTTATGTAGCTTAAATTTTTAACTCTAGTTTTATGAGTTTTCATTTGTTTTCCTTTTTCTTTCCCTTACTCCACACCTCCAGAAATTTTACCATTCACACTAGCATCCAGAGAAAAATAGTGTGGAATCTGTGTGGAATCATAAAATAATGTATAATATTTTACATTAGAGTGAGAGCTGCCTATTTCTTCAAAATGTTATAATCACAAGTGGGATCCTGGGAAATGAAAATACTGAAATCATTAAGATGTTTATAATTTTTAAACTACAAGTGGTATTTCCTTCTACAGGTCTTTCATGATGTTGCTTACAAAGCCAAAGATCGCAATGACTTGGTATCAGGGATCGATGAATTTCTGGATCAGGTTACAGTTCTCCCTCCTGGAGAATGGGACCCTAGCATTCGAATAGAACCTCCCAAGAATGTTCCTTCACAGGTATGTATATTTGAAAACACTCTTTAAAATGTCATTATTTTGTTTTCCTTTAAATATATGACCTAAAATTATATAACCCTTCAGAAAGATTCAAATGGTTTAAATTATTACCTCTAAGATAGCTGAAGTATGAATTTACAAAAGCTTTCTTGATACTATTCTGCAGAAATTTGGCATTTTGATGACAAGCCACTAAATCAGTCTCATGCTCCTGCAAAGAGATTTTACATGGGAAGAAAATTAAAATTTTAATGACAACATAAAATATGGCCTGGGATAAAGCTTACTAGAGTCCTTTGGGGTTCTGGATTCATTACTTTGAATTTGGCAATTATAAGGAAAATTTCAAGGCATGGCTTAATAATTTTATACAGAAAACTTCCTGTTACTACTAGCCACAGTGAAAATTGAGAAGAATTTTTTAGTGTAATTCTTATATTTGTATTACTTTTATGTAGATTTGTGATATAAAAGTTGTAAAATTTTTGCCTATAAAATTTGAATATGTATTTTATCCATCATCCATTCCAGAAAGATATTGCTATTGTTTGGGTCATTTTTTATTATAGGCATGACTGTTGAGAGTGGTAGCCAAATGTTTACAAGTCTCCCTCCTCATATTGCCACCTATTTCCTAGGGGATAAGCCTTTCAAATGACCCCAACAATATCCTTTTTCTCTGCCTTGCCTTTGGTTCTTGCCCTGAGGGAGTCCCGCCTGGTCTGACTTGCTGCTCTGGTTCAAGTGACAGATGGCCTGAATGACACAGTCTTGGGTTAGTCAGAATTGGGCAAATGAGCAGGTGTATCACTCAACAATGAATATGTATAAAGGTCATCTTGATTTTATTATCAATTTAAAGAAAATATATTAATATTTTATCCCTATATTTTTATTCCGAAGTCATTCTATAATTATTAAAGACTATTAACTTTCCTTTACAATACCATTTTTATGGTTTTATAACTGCTATTACATAGTTTCAGTTGCTCTACTACTAAAATAAAAGCAGTTTCTTATGGAATAATTGTAAGGATTGCCTTTTTCTGTGTTGTATACATCTTCCCACTAATGATTTGGGAAATGCAAGATTATGCTCTCTGAGTTAATAAAAAAAAAACTCTTTAATTGATGTCATTTGGATAAATTCGGTGAAAATATAAAAGCATGGAAAATGTGACTTTAAAAGTCACTGTAACACCAGTTAGTTACTCAAACATTAAAGTTGAAGTAAAATGTTTTTTAAAATACTCTGTTTTTGAAGAATGATGTGTTTGAGGCAAGTCAAGAATGGGAGGTCTGTACTTTCCATTATTTGTATGAGAAAATACAAATTAATTAGTAAATTCTGAGTATTGAGAGGCAAAAGTTCAAAGAACATTGAATTAAGAATCCAGACATCTGGGTTCTGCCATTATTCATTTGTCTGACCTTAAACAAATACTTTATTTTCTGATCTTCTGTTATCAGTGCTGCCAGGCAGAACTTTTTGCAATGATGGAAATGTTCTAAATCTATGCTACCAAATAACCAAGCCATTATTGAGCACTAAAATTGTAGCTCCTGCAACTGAAGAACAGAATTTTTATTTAATTTAACTTAAATTCATATAGACATGTGGTTAGTGGCTAACATATTACACAGCAAAATTCTATATAATGAGTTTGAATCAGAAATACTCTGAATGCTTCATTTCAATGTTAATATTTTCAAAGGCATGTTTATGTAATAATATGAATCTGTGTTTTCTTCTATTAGATGTAGTAACATGAATGAACATATATTAAGCACCCTGACTTCATACTCATTCAGATAATATTTTCCCTGATGGAAAAAAACTCTATAGTTTTTATTCTTTTGAAATGTGCAAATCACAGCATCTTAAATACTTTTTTCATTCAGTTAAAAGAAGAATAACCTGCCACCTCAAAGAATAACCCTGAAAATATTCATTAGAATTTTGTTAGTCATTCTAATGATTCCCTTTTATGTACCCAAAACTTTTGTATTTTCTCATGCCACATACTTGCTTGTCAAAATCACAATCCTGTGAGACTCTTTACTTTGTATCTGCGCAATATAGCTGAAGCTGAAGGAAAATGTATAATTGCATTGACAATTCTTACATTATTTCAAGACCACAACCTCAATAGGACTGTTAATGTTGCAAGTTTATCATACTTGTCTTCTCAAGTCCAATCTTTCTCTTTAGATGATGATTTTACAACTGTTCTCTCCTCAAACCTTCACCATATCTTTCCTGACCCTCACTCTCATATGTTGACTTGCTTTTTTCCTGAGAAATTCAAGAAAACCAAAAAGGATTTTCCAATGACTCCTGCCATCACACTTAACCTGTATGCCAGCAGTTGTATCCACAAGTGCTGCCATCTTACATATTACTCCTGGGGAACTATTTGAAGCCAGCCTTCTACTTGTGCATTAGATCCTATCTCATCACATCTACTCAAGGACATTACCAATATCTTTCTCCTCTATATCATGAATTATTTTGTTCTGTGTTACATCGTTTTATTAGCATATAGTATACTGTTAACTTGCCAATCTTAAAAAAATAACTATTGATACCACTTACCACTACCTCTGCCAGTAAGTCACATTTCTTGTTTATCTTTGCAACAGAATGTCACAGAAGAGCCCTTTGTACCAACTGCCTGAAATTCCTCTCCTCCAAGTCTCTCTCAACATCTACTCCAATAAAACTCTTGCCCCCTGCTGCCCTGACTTCACTTAAATACTTAACATGATGGTCACCAATGATCTCCATAATGCTAAATCCCATGGTCAACTCTCAGTCCACATTTTATTTAACGTATCAACTAATAGGATTTGACAGAGTTGATCATGATTTTTTTTCCTTGGCAGATTTGCTTGACTCCCCAATCATCACACTCTTAGTTTCCTACAATCCCATTGATTACTCCTTCTCAGACCCCTTCTGTTTCTTCTTCTGATTTTTTTTTTATGTTGCAATGACATAAGGCTCAGACTTTAATCATCTTCTCTTTTCTGTCTACATTCTCATGAGGATATCATCTTATCTTAGAGTCTTAAACTTTCCTGAAATTCATTTTCCACCCTGCACTTGAGTGTTATTATCCAAATGCCTATCATGTGACTCTACTTCAGTGTCTTCTATATATCTACAGGTTAACATGTTGAAAGTTTGAACTGATTTGTCCAATGTCATGTTTCTATACATATATACATCTTTGCATTTATGATTTTAGAAAAAGACAATATAATGTTTCCCAAAGTATATAAAAACCACTGATATTTTCTCAGAACTTGTTGCATTCACACCTCTCCACCTTGGTTAACTATAACTACATCCTTAGCATTGATCAGGCTAAAATCAATTCTTTTTTTCTTATACCAGACTTCTATTCCGTCAGGAAATTCTATTGCCTTAACATTCAACATTTATCCATAATTATGTTATTTTTCACTACTACTACTGCTAAAACCCTGGTTCATCCTGCCATCATCTCCTGGATTACTGAAATAACCTCCTAACTGGTTGGCTCATTGTTTCATCCCTGGGCTTCTAGAATCTGTTCTTGACACAGCAGCCAAAGTAACTTAAGTTCTGTTATGCCACTCTTTTCCTCAAATGTTCATTTCACTGAGAATAAGAGCCAGACCCTTACAATGGACAATAATATACACTATCTGGCTTCTCTTTACATCTGAAATGTCTTTCTGCCACTTTTTTCTTTTCTCATTTCTCTCAACCAACAAGATCTCCTTGCTCCTGTTCTGCAAGCTCTCCACCACTCTCCCCATTATGACTGCCCCACTGGCTGTTCTTTTTATCTGGATATCTCCTGGTTATCTCATGGCCAATGCCCTTATCTCCTTCAAGTTCTTCACAAATGAGCCTCTGTCACCAAGCCTGCCTGACCCCTCTACTTATTATAGCCAAACTTTTACCTACCCACCACATACCCCAGACCCCCCCAACTCTGCCCTATATGTTTCTTCTTCCATAGCTCTTACTTTCTAACACACAGTAGAATTAATTTACTCATTTAATTTTTTGTCTGCCTTTCCATAAGAATATAAGCTCCATAGACCCAATTTATCCACTGGTATATTCCAAGGGCCTAGCATATTTTTGAAATATCAAAATACTTCTGTTTCAGATCATTTAACATTTTCTATATTTCCTTCAGAATAAGTATTGGTATTATTCATACACATTACATTTTTTCAAATGCCATTTTCCTTTCTCTTTGAGGAAACATGTACTTTAGAATGATTAATATCTTTCATGATTTATTATTTATTTTCATCAATGTATGGCTTTTTAAAAACTATAAAATGATGATTTAACTTCTCCAGAAGGGATAGTTTTCCCAGAAGACCAAATATTATCACTTGCTTTCTAATACTGGTAGGTGCTATGGAAAATTTCCCTAGGTAATTAGGAAGTAATCTTGAGGACCACTTTTACATCCCTTTGTTCTGTATTATATCTTTTTTATTACCATATAACATACTATCAACTCGATAATCTTAAATGTATCCTCTTTACCTATGAAGACATTTCCATCAGTTGATAGGTATTTTATATTCATACTTTAGTCTCATTGTATCTATTCACATGCCCAGGGAAAATGTAAAAATATTAAGCAATGAACTGTTCTCATTGTGCTCATTACAAAAATCTGTTTTTCTCATGTTTAAACATGAACCATTCTAAATTTCCCATTGTGCATAGACCAGTTGATAAGTCACTTTTGTGCTTCACATTTATACTATTTTGGAATGGCATTCAAGTACAATTTTTAATTGTACCACTTAATTTTTTAAAACTATCTTTTCAAGTGCTTTTGAACTCATTGGTGTATTGTACATGGTGGGATTATGTATAGGGCTTTCCAGTTTTTTTTTGTTGTTGTTGTTTTTTTTTTAAATTTCTCTCCCTGAAAAAGGGAGAGAAAATAACAAGGGAAAATAACACATAAACTTCCATTAATTTGTCACTGGTTCAATTAGATGCTTTCTTTTATAATAATGTTTGGGTATATGAGTCAGAAAGCCTTATCAATTATTCCTTGGGTACAAAGATATTAGCTGTAATTAAGGAGGGAAATACAATTTAAAATTAACAGGTAGTAGTGTTTATTGAACAAACTATGTCATGCATAGAACACCACCATGCCTAATACCTTCTTACTCTAGCCTACCCCATCAACCTATCTTTCTCTTTTTCCAGTATTTCACTTTTCTTTGTAGCTCCTATATATACCTCATGTTACAAGTTTATTGTATACCCATCAATAGAATGCTTTTTATTTTAGTTTTTTCCTTCATCTGCCTTCTCTACCTCTGCCTCCTTCTTTTTTCTCTTTCTCTTTTATGGTCTGGGGATCAAACCCAGAAAAATGGGCTTGCTAGGTGAGTGTTTTGCCCCTGAGCTATATCCATAGCTCTTAGGATGTCTTTTCTTGCTTACCTTTGCAACTCTAGCATTAATAACAATGAATGACACACATTAGGCACAGAATATACATTAAAGGAAAGAATAAATAAATAAATGCCCATTACCTCATTTAATTCTCTCAGTGATACTATAAGATAGATATTATTGTTACCACCAATAAATAGAGGAGGGAACTAAATCTTTAGGAGGCTAGATAACTTTTCAGAGGTCAAGCAGACTGTAAGTCATACAACCTGTGTTCTTAGCCACTCTGCTTATTGCTTCAAGAAAAAAAAATACTGTGATTTGCAATTAACACCTGGAATTAAAACAAAACAAAACAAACAACAAAAACAAAAACTTCCTGCAGGAAAAGAGGAAGATTCCTGCTGTACCAAATGGAACAGCAGCTCATGGGGAACCTGAGCCTCACGGGGGACATAATGGACCTGAACTCCAGCGAACTGGAAGGTGAGTGAAAATCACTTGTATGGGACTTCAAGGAGCAAATGACATATCATTCTTGTCTGTCAGGAATTGTTATTTTGAGATCTAATTTATTTCATACTTTTAGTACTATTTGGGGTTGAAAATGTCAATTATTTGATTTCTCTGAAGTTACTAATGATTATCATTAGTGTTAAATCATTACAATGGATACACCATCTCATTTTATCTTACCTAATCTTTCATATGTGCATATGCATTCACAGATCCTGTGAATGAATAAGAAAACTGTCAATTGACTCTTCCAAAAGAGCTTGTTGAAAGCTTCAAGTTCAAGATGGAAATGAAACTAAATACCAATAATTCAGTCTTATAGACCTTATCTCATTAAATGCAAGCAGGATGTATATAATGGTACTTGTTATTTTTATGGCTGTGATTTGAAAGAGCTATATGATTTATTTTTCTAATCACACATCTTTGAAGAGATGAAAGCTTCAATTTATTTCATAAAATGGTGCTTTATGTTTTTTTGACAGCTTGTCTCTCTCCAAGCAATGTGTGAGCAGAAAATCAGAAACCCTTGGGTGGGTCTGTCTTCAGGGAATTTGTGTGTACAGCCTCCACTATAATTAAAGGCAATTGCAAAGGCCCCACAGGACTGGTGCCCCCGCCCCTCAAGGCCATTTTCTGTACTGCTTGCAATGTGTCCTCTAAGCTGGCTTTCCAGTTCCTGACGACTCTGTGCATCTTAATTCTCTTGTGTTCTTTCCCTTCATCTATGTTTTGTCTCTGAGAAAATGTCCTTTAACATCTTCCTTAGGCTCGATACCTAATTTGAGATGGTTTAATTTTTTTTTTCTTTCTCCCATCAGTGGAAGCTTTGTAACCCATTCTGTTCACTTTCATACTTTCAAATGCAGTCCTTTTATTTTTGGTGGAATTTTTTTCTTTCTCTCTCAGGTGTAACATACCACTTAGCTTAGATTTTTTTCGAGTTCACTTTTCCTTACTGCTTCCTAAATCCTCCCAGGTCACCAATATCCGGTATCTTCGCTTCTCCAGAGTTCTTCCACAGATTCTGTTGCTGACATGACTTGAAGTATCCATTACTCATCTGCTCTCCTGGAGTTGCTGGTGTACATCTGGGCTGCTCTTGCACTGTTCTCTGTAATGAATTCCCACTTCCGGATTTAGATTTTTAATGCTAAAAGCACACTTATTACAGTTATTTAATAGCTAGTCAGACTAATGTATGCTCTAATAAGTAATTAATTAGAAGCCAATGGTATAATATAAATAGCTATAAATAATATCACATAGCTATATATTATTTACTAATTAATAGCTTATAACCACCTCAAATTCTTTTTTGGGATTAGGTAGCATATAAATCATAAATGAATGCATAGTCTAGTAGAGTAACGCTGTTTGAACTGTGACTTAACAAAGAATTCAGAAATTTAAAAAAATTATTCAAAATTAAATATGCATATATTTTGACAGACACAGGCAGAGGAACCTAAGGTGAGCTTTTTATGTGTATAAATTTCACAGACAAGCTTCTCTGAGTTTCCAATGTCCTTTTTTTCCCCTCAATTAAAACTTTATTCTTTTCAATCCTCTTCTGATGGAAGAAATCACTAGGAAAGCAGTAATTCTGTGCTTACATAATCATAAAATAGTTATTAATATGAAACTATTTGTTTATATCAGGTCAAGGAAGTTAGAGAAAATAGTCAAATTTTCAGTAATTCTGAATATATACATTTTCCAAGGCCAACTAGAATTTACTTCTCAAGAGAACAATTACTTTTGAGATGATTCTAAGACTGCCAAATGAATAATCCTATTCATAAAATGAATAACAAAAGTTTGACATTTTTGTATGATCCAAGTATATTTAGCATACTGACATAACTTTGGAATATAATGAGGTTTTTCACCATAAATTTTCATGTGGGAACTTCAATGTGGTTTTACTCAGTTTACTATCACATCTTTATTCCATGAAGCACACAGATCTTTCAGCAATCAATGTTAAGTCTGAATATGATTATTAAATTTCAAAGAATTAAAATACCTAACAATGTTTATTAGTGTTCTCATTCCTAATAGAGTAAAAAATATAGTTCTCAAACTTTAAGCATTATTTCATAATTTAATAGTCCCTTGCCAAAATTTTTTTATTAAGTGTTCCAGTGTGGGTTTGGGATATATTTGTATGGAATTATACCTACTGGGATCTTGATAGATGTTGGGACATGTTCAGGCAATAGTGGATCAAAATTATATTTATTCAGTTCAGTTATTATCAGTTTGTCCTTTAGTTTCCTAAAAATACCCTTGAATCTATCTTGTTGTGCTGTTATGCACAACACAAGGCCATTTAGATGTCTGTTTGGAACATTATGTGGTGAGGGACTTTTTATTTTTATTTTTTTCCAGAGAGACTAGGTAAGTGAAGCCATGGTAAAACGCTGCATTTTCTCTCTAAGGTGATGTTCAGTATTGGTGTGTACAAAAGTCAGTTAACCCTCCCTCCCTTCACTTCTGTTATGTTAAATGGAATGTAAGCAATTACAAAATATTGCCAATGTTTGAGAGTGGTAGGCCTGAGTTTAGAATGGAGTAGGTTGATATAGAAATGGCACGGAGAGTAGAGTAATCCTTGAATCCCAATATTTGAATGTTGATTGATGAATAGCCTTGAAAGAGTCTTGGATTTTTAGCTTTTGACACAGTATTTGGTTAAGAATTGAGATAACATAGTGGTGCAAAGCCATCCCTATAGATCATGATAACATAACGTAGCAGGTTATTGTGGGTCTCAACTCTGCTGATGGAAAACGTATACTGTGGCCTGGCAACAAAGCAAGTGAGCACTTCTATAATTTTTTTTATATATATTTGGGTTTCACTATTGTGTTTCCCCCCATGTCCTAGGATTTTTGGGGGACTTATCTTAGATATCAAAAGAAAAGCTCCATTCTTCTGGAGTGACTTCAGAGATGCTTTCAGCCTGCAGTGCTTAGCATCTTTTCTGTTTCTCTACTGCGCCTGTATGTCTCCTGTCATCACATTTGGAGGACTGCTGGGAGAAGCAACTGAAGGTCGTATAGTATGTATTATGTTTTCTCTGAACTTTGAAACTTGATTTGTTTGTAAGATTGATAGTAAGATAAGTGAGCCTTTAATATTGGATTCTGTTATAAGGAGAAATTTAAAGTGTGGTGTGACCGATAAAACTCATATATGACTTTTCTGGACAAGTAGTGGGGAACTGGTAAACTAGGAATAGTGTATCTCAGAATAAGTAATTCTGAGTCCTACATGAGATTTTTGTCTGATCCCCTTGATCCCTATCCCTAGTACCAGGCCAGTTTTAAGCTCTGGTTCTTACCTCTCAAGTCCATTTCTAATATATCTGAGCCATGTTTCTGTCTAGACAGTATTTCTAAATATGTTCAAACTTTCTGTGAGGTAAGAGACAAGTGAGGCAGGAAGGTAGAGAGGACACTTCCCATTTGTTACTATTCATTTTTGCCCCTCTTGGCTCATTCCCCTACTCCTATCCTACCTTCTGCCCAGAGTTGCCAGGCTTTGCATAGTGAAGAAAAAAAGAATGAACCTGTGTATTTTAAACATTTCCTAACTAGTTTCAATGCCCACCTGTACAGCTTAGGTAATGGAAACATTTATATCTTTACACAGAGTGCAATCGAATCTCTCTTTGGAGCATCCATGACCGGGATAGCCTATTCTCTCTTTGGTGGACAACCTCTTACCATATTAGGCAGCACAGGACCAGTTTTGGTGTTTGAAAAGATTTTGTTTAAATTTTGCAAGTAAGTGTTACATACTCTGACCCTCAGTCCCTCTCTTTTTCTTTACTGTGTTTAATCTTCTCCTAACATCAATTTTGAAGATCTGTTGAGAAAGTTGAAAGCAGCTGAGTTGATCCAGTTTGTCATTTCTGTCTCAGTGGAAACAGAGGGAAAGTTAAAGGCTTATCCATATTGTTGTATGATGTGAATAAAAACTAAGATTCAGTTCTAAGCACTGAGGAACCTCTTTTAGTTTTGTCCCTGAGTTGTTCCCTTTAGACAAAGTCTTGAGTTTCATTACTGGGGATATGAAGCTTATTGAATTAGGCTTATTTCTACTTATTTAAAATGGTGGCAGGCTGTAAAATGACTGTCTTCCCACTATTATTTCCTTTTGTTCCTCCTAGAGAATATGGGCTATCATACTTATCTTTAAGAGCCAGTATTGGACTTTGGACTGCAACATTATGTATCATACTTGTGGCCACTGATGCCAGTTCCCTCGTCTGCTATATCACCCGGTTTACTGAAGAAGCTTTTGCTTCTCTGATTTGTATCATTTTCATTTATGAGGCTCTAGAGAAACTGTTTGAACTCAGTGAAGCATATCCAATCAACATGCATAATGATTTGGAACTGCTGACACAATATGCGTAAGTACCATTTGCCCTGTTGTCTGTGGAACTTTTCTTTTCACAAATATTGTCATTGTTATAAGAAATATGAGGAACTTACTCATCAGAAGCTATGCCTTAAATTGATTCATGACCTACATCCTGGACTTTCAGAGTTTAATAGGATTCTAAAAGTCAATTAATTAGTCACTCATCTGATTATTGAGTTTATTATACCATTTCTGCAAAGAATATCTTCTGAAATTTCTATTTCTCAAGTAGTCCGTAAAATAAGTAGATAAAAAGACAAGTCAATTTTAATTTACATTGATTTTGACTTTGGAAAATATGTGTTATTTTGTTTTTTTTTTAAGTTCTTTTCAATGTATTATAACATAGTAATGAAAATCTAAGATTTCAGACATAAAGCAATGAGGTAAAAGAAACTCACTGAATTTGTGTTAGGTTGATGTTTGAAAATATGATAAAAATGTAAGTGAAAATCACTGAAATGAAATATTGCAGTATATGGCATTCGTGGTAGAAATACTCCCGAATTACTCACTGAATTATATTATCGTTGAGGATTAAAGATGAGATTGCACCTATTGCTCTTCCTATTTTTGTTACACCAGCAGTTGGAAATTTCTCAGATTGTTCCTGTAGAGTATATGTGGCCATTAAATAACTCTTTCATTGAATTCTAGAATTTTCGATTGCACTTATATATAGATTTGTATACAGCAAGTATTTGAAGCAATATGTTCTTTCTGAGACACTTATAACTTCTGCATCAATCACCAGTATTTTTCCTTTGAACTGCTTAGATGTGGCCTCAAGCTTCTTGAGTCTTTATTTACTACTAGTTGTTGAATGTTATAATTTTGTTAAGAATGATCTAATGATACAATTATCTAATGATACAGTGTTGAAAATAAAATGGTTCTTTAACTTTTTCTTGGTTTTTAGATATAGATTAAACAATGCATGCATCCCTATTTTTAGACAAGAACCAAAGGGGTAATGTAAAATAACTTTCTAATAAAAATAAATAAAATAGTATGAATAGTATTAAGAAGGGAATAAGAGTAGGTGTCTGGGACACTCAGAAAGAGGCAGATTGTAAGAGCAATTAACCAGAACCAGGGATAAAATTGATACATGCCTTTTCATTTATCTTTACTTAAAAAGAGAGCAGTATACCTGATTTTAGTTATCTTTGTTGGGATATTAAATTCTTTCTGGTAGGATTTTTTCAAACTGATACATGACAGGTACTATGCTAGGTGCTAGGGAAATCATGAAAAAAGATATTCTGTCCTGCAGGAGTTTCCAGTTTACAAGGCACCAGAGACAGGTAACATGATGAGATGAGTGCTGTGTTAAGACATTGGTGCAGAATGCCGTGGTACTACCTCAGAAGAGTATCTCACCCAGATTTGGGGTTCAGAAAAGCCTTTCTAGAGGAAGTCCATAGAATAAAAAAATCAATAGGGGTTAGAAAGAGCCGAGGAATAGGGCAGGAAAGTGGTTCAGACAGAGTGCGTGAATATTCGAGATTCACTGAAGCTTTGAAATATTTGTCTGAAGTCAGATGGTTAGTGGTAAAACACAAAACAAAATCCAGGTTTTATTACTTTGACATAATTTAGTACACCAATCCTAAAAATGAACAAATTAGCACTCCAAAAGAAATGATGTAGAAAAAATAAAATAGGTAAAAGCAGAATGGTTTTATTTGAAGAGGTGGGAAGGCACCAATTACCCATCCTTCTGGCTGTTCTGTCAGCCTCAGTGGCAGCTTTTCAAGGACTTCAGACTGAGGGACCAGTTTAATATCCCCTTATCCAGAAAAGAGGAAGTTAGAAAAGAAGAATTGAGCCCTGGATAATGTTCACAGCTTGAGGGAAGAAGAATGAAAAAAATTGTAAGTCAACAGATGGAAAAAAAAGTAAGAAGTATCAGAGATGTCAGCTAAAGAGAAAACCATGGGGTGAGGTCAGGTTGTAGAAGGCAAGAGACACAAATGGATGAAAAAATATTCAGATAGGACAGTGGCATGGAGATTAAACATAATAAGAAAAAGGATTTGAAAAGAGATCATTGTTAACATTAAGAAATAGTACTGGATTAAGAGAGGGGGCAGCACAAGAAGGCAGTTAAAGAAATTAAGAAGAGATTAGGTAGAGCCCAGGATGTAGGCATGTGCCTGTATTCCCAGTGGCTCAGGAGGCTGAGACAGGAGGATCAAAAGTTCAAGGCCAGCCTCAGCAACCCAGTGAAGTCTAAAGCAACTTTAGTGGTACCCTGACTCAAAACAAAACAAAAACAGGAAGGGCTGGGGATGTAGCTCAGTGGTTAAGTGCCCTGGGATTAGATTCCCAGTACTAAAAACAAGAATAACAACAAAAAACAGAGGGATTAAGAAGTAAAGAATACATGCATAGGACATTTTGATGTCAAACAAAATGAGAAATAGAATGCCTTCTGGGATAGAAGAATGCCTTCTTCGTGATAGAAGAGTTAGAAAGTGAGGAAATAGAGATAATGGAAAGAAAGAGAGATGATGGAAAGAGAGTGAACAAACATGGGTGAAACCGTCCAGGAAGTCAAAAAGGCATGAGATTCAGACAAACAGTGGGGTTAAATAAGACAGATGTTCAGAAGATAATATGAGATGCAAAATAGCTTTATATGTCTGTGGTCCCTGCCTATCCTGATATTCAGAAGAGGAGTGGGCTCCAATATTCATGTTATTTTCAACTCTGCTTTTTAAAAAGGGATCTTTATAAGTTAAAGTTTCATTTGGATCAGTGTGGGCATCTGAAATCTAATTATTTGAAGACTGAGCATGAACGGGTGCTGGTCTGCATCACATTGCCCCTCTCCATCAAAGTTAGGGAGGTAGAAGGAGTGGAGAGACTGGATAAACCTGAGGGGCAGTGAGATTTTCTTGTCGTCTGGTACCTGAAATGTTTGTAGCAGAAGTAGAATAATAGGTCTCTCTGGGGAATGTTGTGCTGGCTGATACCCTCACTGTATTGGTTCCTAACTTTGGTTTTTATCCTGTGACTGCCTTGCTTCTGATTAAGAATGATGTCACACATGTGTCATTAGCAATTCATGTTCTGGACTGGACAGATTTCATATTGTGTACATGCATTTGATCAGGAATTGCCATTACTTGCTTTCTGGAGAAGCAAAATCAATCTTTATTTTTGTTATGTACACATATATTTATTAGTATACTTTTAGTTATGTGCATTAAATAAAATACAAAAGTCATTGCTCATAACACCATTTTAATGTATTGCATACTTGCAGAAAACATTTAATGTTTCATTAAATTCCTATTACACTTGTAGTTGCTTGCTTGTTCTGACCTTTTCATATTAATAAATTTTAAGTGTCATTATCCTAATGCCCATCTAAAGTTTCTGCTTCATATGTTGTTGGATTCATGCTTTAGAAAAAAATTATTAGAAAATGTTATAGCCTGGATATACTATATCTGAGATTGCAATTTTTGTAAACTGAATATACCTATAATTGTATATATAAGCTCTAATATGTCATATGTTTTATTGAGGTGTAAGATATTGGGGGAAAAGCCATCATGTTCAGGATGTGCATTTCAGATATTCTTTGTAAATGGGCCTGCTATATGCAGATTTCCTTAAATTCATATTTTACCAATCAAATAACAAAATGTTTTTGATTTAAAAAAAATACTTTTCTAGTTCCTCTGGCATCTTAACCTCATAATGTGGTAATATGTAGACCTTACATTTGAAGATGCACACTTTCCTTTCATTGTGCCAAAAGCAAGTGTCAAGATAATCTATTTAGTTTTGAGAATATATATATTATACAAGACGATCAAACTGAATATGTCAAGTTAGAAATAAGTAATGAGTTTAAGCGAATAATTTTTCTTCTTTGCTTTGATTTTTTTCAGAAATGGCAAAAATAGAATAAAATGTTCTGCTTGTGTAAGATGAAATGTTCCTTCAGTGTATAATAATAATCTAAAGTTCTCAAATATGGCTAGTTAAAGAAAGATTAAGGATATATGGATGTTTTGCAAATGATTGGGTCAAAGCAAAGTGCAAGGTCTATTACTCTAGTTTCCATATACATGTAGATTAGAGTTAAATAAAATATAACAATTATCAAGATGTCAAAGGAGTGATCTCACTACTATGTGATGTGCTATTTTTTTTCCTCTCTTGTTTTCTCCAATACTTTATTCAGCCCTCTACATAATCCAGGATAGTGATCTATTTTGAATAAATGATGATATTTAATATCCTTTTTCTCTTCTCCAAGTAGATTTGAGTCCCCTGTAAAGTACAAAACATGTAACAATTTTATACCCCATAGTACTAGCATAATACTATTGACATGGTCAAGTGATGCTTAATACATATTTATTAACTAATCATGTTGCAAAATAATTGACATAACCTGGCCTGTCTTGTTGGACAAGTAAAGACAATTGTGCTAGTTTACATTATCTTTAGTATTATCATAAAGATTTCATCCAGAAACTTTGAATAAATTTGACAGATTATGAGATTCTTAATATGAAATAAAGATGTATAAACCTATATCAGAAAGTTAGCTCTGATTGAAAATTTGGACAAGGTGCCAATATGATGGAGAAATCATCTGGGAGAACCCAGTGAAGCAGGACTAAAATTTGCAGTACTTCAAAAACTGATCAGGGATGGGGAGAAAGAACATGAAAGAGAAGTTTTTATGGCTCATGGACCTTTTAGAACTTGAAAAATAAAAAGTAAAAAAATAAAGCATAAAGTACATTTAGGTAACCTCTGCACTTCAACTTTCTAAAATCACATTTTTAGATGTATATCAACTAAATTAATTCAGAATTGTTTGCAGCATAATTTATAATTATATCTTTATGTGTTTGAGTAATGTCTATGTGCCTTCACTAGTTTGATCCCCATAATGGCAGGCCCAGGACTACTATGTGCACCTTTGTGTTCTCTACCTGCAAAACAATTAGCACATAT